GGTTTTAGATATATTTATAATTTTAATGTTTTCTGTGAGTCGCCCAGAGTCCCCTATTGTGGGGGAGATGGGCGGGGGAGAAATCCAATAAATAATAATAATAATAATAATAATAATAATAATAATAATAATAATAATAATAGTGGCCTTCCCAGTCCAAACAAATTCAGACTGGAACCCCTTTTCTTCTAGAGCAAGATCTGACCACATCATTAGCAAAGGGTTTTCTCTGCAATCATGACAACAAAATACTACGCACAGTAGGGTTCTTAAACATACTTTTGAAGTTTAAATGCACTGTAAGCTGTAGAGCTGAAAGCCTGTTTTGCATAATTTCTGTAACATTGACTGTGATTTAATGAAAGGATATTGTTAGACATGCATCAAGTCTCCTGTAATCCAAATTAGATCTCTGTTTGTTAATCAAAGCATTTTTCGGGAAATTTTTAAAAAGTGGGTATAAAAGAAACATCACGTCAATAACCAGGCTATTGTTTGACAAGTATTATTTATGTGTTTCCTTAATTCTTGTGGAATAATATTGAAATAACTTACTTTTTAAATTACTGAACAATGATGAGCTATTTCTCAAACTGTTAATAGTCCTTCACACAATTCAGGGGCCCAAGGAAACTGACACAGTAGTGAACTCAAGTCTGATCAAATGTCTGCTTGAAACATTTTTCCACACATTGATGTCAAATAGTACACTTACTATCTAATAAATTATCTCAGGGAAAAGGAAATGTTTTGTAATAGGAAGAAAGCAGGGTAAAATGGTATACTTTACTGCTCAGCAGGTGATCCACAGAACAACAGGCTTTCACCTTTTTTTTGTCAAATACTATTATTTTGGTGGATTACTGCTGGCATCAAAATGTCATGCAGCAATCACGTTATAAATGGAATCTCCTTATGGACTTGAAATTAAAAACAAAAATCTGTAATGTTCTTTCACACGGCTAAAGTAACAAGCCTAGGTAGTTGGGTCAACTTGGAGAAATCCACGTGCAGTTTTCGAGTATACGTGGATGAGATTTTGGAATGCAATGCACAGCTGTGTTTTTTTAATTTTTCAGAAACAAAATATTGCATATTTACAGAGACAATATATGCAAAAAAAATATGGTAACATGGTCTATATTATACAGAGGGCAGCAAACTGATGAGATATCAGCAGGGAAATTCCAAACAGCCTGGAAAACCTTAGCAAATTTGGAAGCGTATCCCACGTTGAACAATTAGAAGATCAAGTAAATACACTAATAAAAGCAGAAAAGAGAGGAGGAATCACCATCAGAAAGTAGGCATAACGCTCAAGAGAAAGCGAGAGAAAAAATAAGTTTGAAAAATAACAAAGTTATCAGCAGTGCAGTAGAAAATGAAACAAATGGAACTAGTCACTTCCATTCATGTGTTTGCTCATTTATTTTGATTTCTTTCCTGATTTTTTTCTTAAGTGAGTATTAATAAGCCAGGAAATGGTTAAAGAGTGAAGACAGCCCTTTCAAACCAAGGAACTGACACGCTCACCAGTGGGAGTTCTCCCAATTAGCACTGCCAAGTCTGTCAGGACTCAGGTAGGGAAAAATCTGCAAATGTTTCCATCACCTATAACAATAAGCATTAAAAACGAGCCAGGCCCTCTTTGAAGAGGGAAGAGCAGGACAGAAGTACCTGCCAGATGTCATGAATTAATTCCTTGCAGAGAAAAAAATAATGGAGGCCGAGACTATTCATGACACTTAGTTGCTAAGCACTGCTCTAGGACATGAACTAAGCTTTAACTAACATAGTGGAAACTAAGTTTCAACTAACAATCCTGTTAGTCTTTCGCAAGACATTGAAGACCTGGTTCTTTCTCATTGCATTTGGGTCAGGTGGGTAGATGAGCTCTGTGAATACTGATATGGTTTGGTTTTGTTTCTTAGTGAGTGGAGTTATTGTCTATCCTTGGGTGCTGGGAGGTTATATGGAGAGGGGTTCTGAGTTTTAATCTTTGCCAAAAAAAAAAGA